AATACTGTTCAGTCTGAAGTCTGGAGTGAAGTCCGTCAGGAGTCCGTCAGTCAGAGCGAGCGAGTCAGTCAGTCAGTCGAGTCAGAGGCAGTACGAAACAGAGTCGCGTTCAGACAATTACAACTAAACCTGATTGTTCATACTAACACTTCCTACTTCTCTGTATATATTCCTGTTTGTAATATATCTGTGTTATTCCATATCCGTGTTCGAGTTCTTCTTTATTGGTTCTACCTTGGACTATCACCGTGGTACAAGGAACCGGACCATAACAGTTAGAATGAATTGGTGGAACTAAGGAATGTAGTTTGTCTGTGCACTTTACATAAAAATAGCGACAGAGTAGCGAGAGGATTGCAATGTTTTGTCTGTAAGAAAGAGTTGTTTTAAAGGCAAATCCCAGACTCGCAAAATATGGCGAAATATAAAATGTCTGTGACAACAGATTTTCAAAAGTACCCGATTCTAAATAGGGTCAGCATTTAAACCGATTGGATTAATAGTTTCTAATTAGGCCCAAGAAGAGGTTTTTACTCTCGGATCGTATTCAACAGGATCTTCGGAAAATTATTGTGCACTTTTATAACCCTATTTTTTTATATTTCAAATTTCACCCCAATATGGTTTTAACAACTAAAGAACGTGTATTTCTCGTTGAACATGTATTTCGAGAAGGTGGTAGGTGATAATCTTGAAGGATGCTAAGGATATCATGAACCGAGCGTGTGAGCAACGATGAGGTCTTAGAGAGGATGCAAACACAGAGGAAGCTTATAGAACCCAGTCTGTCCTGCTATTTGGAGGGAGAAGAAGAGGATTAATACCTAATGGATTCGAGTGGAATTCGAACTCAGCTCTCCAATTCCTCAATCTAAGCCGCTATCCATTACTCCACCGTGCCTCCCTATGCATGATAAACATATAGTTTTAAGGTAGGCTATAATTATGGGTAAAAGTGCTCAATATCAGAAATAGAGTGTATGTAAATATACAAGTTGATAACTGAGGTTAACACCGAGCGGCGAGGTCGGAAGACTGCGTTCAAGCAAGAAACAGACTCACGTCGCTTGTTGTTGATCTCATTGTCCACTTTTACATTTACATAGAAACATAAACAGAGTGTTTGGAAAGTTACTATGCACTTTTTTAACCATATTTTTTATATTTCAGATTTCACCGCAATATGGTTTTAACAACTGAAGAACACGTATTTCGAGAAGGTGGTAGATACACAGATTTGATGCGACAGCATTTTGCTGATAAATTTTCAGATACATCAGTTCCACATCGTAATGCAGTTTGTAACCTTATTGATAAATTTTGGGAAACACGATCAAACTTTTGGATATTTATGAGAGTATGCAGAAGAGTCCAAGAAAATCATTACGAAAGATATTGGTCTTGGAACTGCTCATAATGTCGTCAGACAAAAATTAAAACTCTTCTCATACAAAATAATGGCGGTACAAGAAATGAAAGCAACTGATCATGAAAGCAGCGATAACGGTGTTCATTCAGTTTATTTCAAACGAGCAGCTGATAGCGGTGTTCAGAAATAACATAAGAAGGGTCCAAGCCTTGTATTGATGCTAAAGGGTCTCGCCCAATCGGTTGTTAATTGGGGCAAGAATTGGCTTGTCAACTATAACGCCTCAAAAACTAAACTAATCTCTATTAATCACCATAGAGATCCTTCCCCGCCCCGCCCCATTAGAATGTCTGATAGTCATCTTCTCGAGAGCACCTCTCTGTGTCTGCTCGGTCTCACGCTGACTGCTGACCTGAGATGGAACAAATACATTGAGTCAATTCCTTCGTCCACCGCGAGGAAAGTTGGTTCTCTGTGCCGCGCCAGGAAATTTTTCTCTCTGGAATCGATATTTCAAATATACAAATCAAACATTCGCCCTTGCATGGAGTATTGCTGCCATATATGGTCTGGTGCACCTTCTGTTTACCTCGGAGTTCTTGACAAGATCCAGAGACAGATATGTAATATAATTGGCCCTGATCTGGCATCTCGTCTACAATCACTCTCTCACAGAAGCGCCGTCGCCTCTCTCTGTCTTTTCTACAAATACTTTCATGGTAATTGCTCCGATGAGCTGCTTTCACTGGTTCCCAGATTTCATGAATTCAAGCGCCCTACGAGGCTGGCATCGCGCTCTCACCCTTTCACTGTAGAAACTTTTCAATGTAGCCGACTCTTCTACTCCAACAGCTTCATACCTCGCACCTCTCGCCTGTGGAACACTCTTCCCTATTACTGTTTCTCTGAGAGCTATAATCTCCAACTATTGAAATGTAATGTCAATCGACATCTCCAGTTGTCTTGATCTATCCACTATCCTTCTCCTCATCCTTTCCTCGATCTCTCCTATCTGATCTTGCTCCAAATCTTCTGTAACCCCTTGCGTCCTAGTGGCTTCCCGCCTTGCTTGGGGTGAAACGCTTAATATATATATATATATATATATATATACTTCATCTTTTTATTATTTGTCTATTCGCGTCTCTTTAATTCCTTCTCTCAATATACAGGGTGCGATGGATAAATTGTCGCCGTTTTGTATTTTTAATTTCGCTCCAATCTGCTCTCGCTCCAAATCTTCTGCAACCCCCTGCATCCTAGTGGCTTTCCGTCTTGCTCGGGTCGTAATGCTTAAAAAAAAAATTCTCCACCTGTATTCAGGGCGGTCCTAAAGTCTTGTCACCCTAACCCTCTCTACCAAGATGTAAGAGTTTGTGTCAGCCATCTGAAATAGAAAATTATATCATGTAGAGGTGACAATACTTTTGGCTTACGCTGTATATTGAAACCTGTCTATTAACCAAAAAATAAGAGAGACTTTCCGAACATCAAGTATTTTCTGGAAATTGCTTGGATGGTTGTTTTCATTTAGCAGCATATCACCTTGTATGGGATGCACGGTGGGGTAATGGATAGTGGCTCGGATTAAGAGATCGGAGAGCTGAGTTCGAATTCCAGTCGAATCCATTACATTCACTTACGTACTATTACCCTTGGGAAAAGTATGAATCCGCTTCTTCTCCACCACCCCAGCTATGGGTAAATAGCAGGACAGACCGGGTTCTATAGCCTTGGATGGTCAGAAAAAATGGCAACCTACTGCGGGAAAAAAAATCTGCCTCTTCAGTCATGTATCGAAAAATACCTGATCGCATAAGCATGATTGACACATGGCACATAACTGGGTGATTTAATGCCGAAATCTAAATATTTTCTATGCAATTTTATTTTTTTGAGTTAATAATGGTTTTAGTGATACAACACTCACTAATTAACCAATAGCTTGGGGGAGAAGAGGTGGATTCATATCGTTCTCAAAGATATTTGCGCGTAAGTGAATATAATGAACCCATCTACATTTATTAATAATTTTTTAATAAGTTAATAATTTTTGTTTCCCTTTTCGTCTTGCTTTCTATCACGATTTTCTAAGTTGAATACGCCCCGGCTGTTCTCTGATTCGCTTTCTAGCTCAGGGGCCACAGACTTAGGGATACACAGGGCCATTTCATGCAGAGGGAGAGTTGAAACTGATGAAAATCAGGCCAGTCACCAGGGCTTAACCAATGTGGTCGGATTCCCAAACATGGAGTCCACGGACTTCTTTAGCGATGGATTCCCCCCCAAAAGCCTAAATTAAATCAGTTTGGTATTTTTGAGCGATAGAAATTGTGAAAGTGAAAAAGAGTGGGAAAGAGAGAGACAGACATGCACGTAGGACAGCCAAAGTTCGGACATACTGGGTGCGATGGGTAAATTGTCGTCATTTTATATTTTTAATTTTATGTATGCACGCTGTGTTTTTTTGTTTTGTTTTTTTTTGTTTTTTGCTTTTTTTTTTTCCGACTGAACAGTTCAGTAGGGTCACTTGAGCACCGTCTGTGAGAAAAAAGAGCACCATAACGCAATTCAATCCGCCAGAAATTTGGAAACGGCATGCTGTACTGCTTGGCATTCGCGCCGGAAACGCCAATACGCGAGTGTTTGAGTATTAGTCTGAGGATTCGGAAAGAATTGAATGAGTCTAATTGTGATTACGAAGGTACGGATGCTCGGAAAACTCATTCTGATCGTTCTGATAAGAAAATAAATCTAGAATTTGTTTGTGAGGGCTACGGGGGGGTGTCTACATCAAGTGTCTTAAGGAGGTAAAATGCTGCCCTGGTCAAGAGGTTGGCTGTTGGAAGACCCGATATCTGGTAACAGGACTCTGCACCATGCCATACAAGCAGGAGAACCCAGTCATGGCTGTCAGACAATTTCTACGATCACATTACCCCTTACATCTGCCCACCTAATTCCCAATTCTGCAACCACCTAGATTATTATGTGTGGAGCGTACTTGAACGAGAGACCAACAAAAACCCCATTGTAACATCAAAATGAACTGAAGGCAAAGGTTATGGCAGCATTCACCAACTTAAACAAGGAGACCGCCTAGAAGAGTTGCTGGAGATTCCGAGGTTGTCTGGACGCAGTTGTTGAAGTCAATGACGATTTTATTGAATAAATTTACTCTTTAGTATTTCAAGATAGTTCTCTGTAATTTTGGTAAATATATTTGTTAAAGTGAGATGTCAGTATTATTTTCATTTTTCTGTAATTTAGACGAAAATTTATCTATCGCACCCTGTATTCCAGCCGTTCGTGTTTATTAAGTATATCTTCTTTTTTAAAAGCAATATTAAAATGTAATTATTAAAAAGAAACATTGATTATCAAATAAGTGTCCCTCATCAGTTAATGCAAGACGTGTCCGTCGGCAAAAACATCGACTTTTCTTTTCCCTTAGAGGAACAAGAACAAATCTCACTGGCCTTACAATTGATTGATTGTCTGGGTAGTTTAGCTCAATACCACTATTGCAAAAGTATGCCAGTAGTGAGGGACAAATTTATTAAACATAAAATTTTGAGAGAAAATATTGCTCACGACAATGGTTCCCCGCTGACCACAGAAAGATAGTCTACTAGACGCAGAAAGATAGTCCGCTGGCTGGAGAGAGATAATCCGTGAGACGCAGAAAGATAGTCTGCTGGCCGCAGAAAGATAGTCTGCTAGCTGCAGAGAGATAGTCCACGAGACGCAGAAAGATAGTACGCATGTTGCAGAAGGATAGTCTACTGGCCGCAGATAGATAGTCCGCTGGCTGCAGAGAGATAGTCCACGAGAAAAAGAAAGATAGTCCACTGGCTGCAGAAGGATAGTCCGCGAGACGCAGAAAGATAGTCCGTTGGTCACAGAAAGATAGTCCGTGAGCCACAGAAATATAGTCTGCTGGCCGCAGAAAGGTAGTCCGCTGGCCACAGAAAGATAGTCTGCTGGCCACAGAAAGATAGTTTCCTGGCCACAGAAAGATAGTTCGCTGGCCACTGAAATATGGTCTGCTGGCCGCTAAAAGATAGTCGGCTGGCTGCAGAAAGATAGTCCGCGAACCGCAGAAAGATAGTCCGCGGCCGAAGAAAGATAGTCCGCTGGCTGCAGAAAAATAGTCCGCGGACCCCGTGGCCTCCTTTCACCTATTGGACAAACAGTAGGGTAGATTGAACTTTCTAGCTTTGCATGTCAGCCAGTCTGAATTCAAAAGTTTGGAAAATGCAAATAGAAAATTATCCATTATGTTTCCAAAGAAATCATGGCAATTGAAGAGAAAAGTAATTTATGATGAATAATGATCGCCTACCTCCTGAAGGGACACGGCATTTAAATTGTGCATATTAGAATAGAAATAAATTAGAAAAAAAATTAAAGATATTAAGACATAATATTTACTGAGAGACTCTGGTGAAAGACGGTTTTGAGGTGCCGGTTGAACAACGGTTATCGGGTCCGGTTTTGCTTGTAAGGCACAAACAAGCAGAATAATAACATAATAATTAATCTAATAATCCTGATAACGTAAATTCATAGAAAATTCCGGAATTATTTTTCCAATTTTTATTTTCTTTAATCAACGACAGGCTCAAATAATTGATGCTTTGAAGAAATGCATCCATGTTTAAAATTATTCCTGATCTGTTTAACAGAGAAACTTTCCAACTTTTATTTTCTTTAATCAACGACAGGCTGAAATAATTGATGCTTTGAAGAAATGTATCTATGTTTAAAATTATTCCTGAGAATAGAGAAACTTAAACTTCGAACATTTGACAGCCAACTGGATAAATATTTGTTGTGTCTAAATACAGTGTGGTTGGAGATGCTGGATCACTCACCCGCTCATAAATATGCTAAAAATGTCATTTTGCCCCCTTAACGAGCTGTCGAGACAGAAATTGTGGTCGACAACGAAAAACGATTTGCTACCATCTCTCATACAGTCGATTTTAAATTCCACCTGCTTCCCACCCGACTCTTAATAGCCGCATCTTTGCCGCAATGGGTGGGTGAGTTGGAAAGAAATTAGTAGCAGTCGGGTTGTGTAACTTCCGATAATGACTGACCACACGGATCGAGCAGGGCAACTCTGTCTGTCTGCGTTTACAAACGCAAACATAGGTTAGGCTGAACTAAGAAATTATTATTGTTTTCGTTCAATTAACTCTTCTTCTTTTCCCGCCCTTTTTCTCACGTGGCCTTTATCTTCGTCTGTTCTTTTTTCTACCCCTCTTCTCTCCATCCTACTAACTTAAGGCGATCAACTCTTGCCTCGAACATCCTAATCATCAAATCAATTCTACCCACGCCTTGTCACCTGATTTGACTATTTTTTTTTTCAGACAAGCAGACGTTTGGCAAGTGATCTTCTAGTTGGTTCGTTTGTGGAAACCTCTTTTGTTTATTTCGTGTCAACCTTAGAGATCTTGCTTGCTTGAGCATTTCCTTTTTAATTTTTTGACAGGGCTGATAAATTATTCAAGTAGATAGAGAAAAGAACAAAAAAAAAAGCAAAGAGAAAAAAAGGAAACTGCCAAAAAGCGGAATTGCAAGTGGAAAAAACGGAAAGAAAGGTTCCGTTTAATATTTCCTTTTTAGAAAGCAAAACAAACATTTCGTGCATTAACTTTGGATATTCTGTAACTGTAAGAAACTACAAGAAAGCAAGCCAGATTGCAAGTAAGTATCATAAATTTTATTAACGGAAAGTGAAAACAAATTACATTTTTTTTTTGAAATCTACAGCGGTCGTCTTTTATTTGGAGTTTTGATTAATAATTGTCTCAAAGAAGGGCTATGAGGCTGGCAATTCGGATATGCCGAAGAGAAACTGTAAAATGTTTACTTATAGTGAATAGGCGAATGTTCTCGACTGAATAAGGAGAGAAAAATCGTATGCTGAGGTTACTAAGATCTACGTTTTATACATACATAAATACACACACGCACACACACACACATACACATACATATATGTATATAAATATGTTTATATATATATGTATATATTATAAATATATACTATATATAGATAGAGAGAGATACTATATATATATATATATATACTCTACCTATATATATAAATATATATATATATATATATATATATATATATATATATATATATATATATAGATTGATAGATAGATACTATATACTATATATATAGATTGGTGGATGGATAGAGAGATAATATACATACATCTACTGCATTTTGCACACACACACACACATATATGTAACAAAAATAAATCCTAAAGACACACACACACACACACACACACACACACACACACACACATATATATATATATATAACTAAAATAAATCCTAAAGAGCCAGGAAAAACCTACCTAGGTTTCACCTAAACGGATCTTCAGGGTAAGCTGAATTTATTTTAATTATTCCCATTTTACTTAGTGTATTGAGCACTCTACGTTTTAGTTTTACTATTCGCTTGTTTTGTTTTTTCTTTGGACTATAGACTTAAGGCACTGGACGACTTATTTCGCCCTGTTCGGATGTTTTTAGTTCTTTCTTTTTTTTATTTCCAATTTTTTCCTCGGGTACCGATTTATTTTGACATATCTACAAGTTGAGCTATCCAAGGTTTTTTTCCAAACGAATACTACTATTAATATATATATATATATATATATATATATATATATATATATATATATACCACTCGTATTCATTGGTTTTTTTTTACGGTTTGTCAACCTTTTGCAGGTTATTTAAAGCTAGAAAATATTTTTATACTGTAAGAATTTGGGGGAGATAAAAATAATTTTACTGATACAAGTCCTATTAATTAATTGATAGCCGAGGGAGGAGAGGTTAGTTTATACCTTTCTCAAGGATATTTGGCCATAAGTCAATATAACGAACCGGGCCCTCACATTTCCAATTCCCAGCTGTTACCCATATCGCCACCTATGCATTCGTATTTCTAAGCGGTCGCCCATCCAGGTACTGACCAGTCTTGATGTTTCAGTGATCGTACGAAAGCCGGAGTTTCAACGTGATACGGCCGTAAGCCAACCCGCGTAATTAGGAGGACTACTGTACATCTATTCATTACATATTCATTCACAGACGCAATCGATATTTAATAAGCTTATTATGATACATTCTCAAGTATGACTAGCTGGTAAATAAGACTAGGAAGACTGTGTTGCGTCAGTTTGTGGATTGGGTCTGTTGAAAATCCCGTCTTGCAGCCAAGAGTTAGAAACCTCGACCACTCGACACCCAACAACATTAGCCACAAGACAGGCCTTCATACGCATAATAAGAATCCAATTGTAGATCATGAGCGTCGTGGTTAAAAACGATAGAGTTTATTCTGTTTAACCAATCGAAATGGAAATAAACAATCAATTAGGAATCAGAATAATGAGCTCATACCACAGCGGTCAGTCTAGAACTCATGAAACCCTTGATATAAACGTACTGATATTATATATATATATATATATATATATATATATATATATATATATATATATATATATATATATATATATATATATATATATATATATATATATATATATATGTTTCACTGGCCGTCTACCGTAGCTTGATTGTTAGCAAGTCCGTTTCTGAGTTCGATCCTTATCGGGGTTCCACTAATGTGACAGATTATGTGAATAGATAACTATATATGTACCCCAGAAGACGAAAGGGTTGTTCAGTGTGAAATAAAATAACTTTTACAAGAATTGCTGAGTTAAGGAGCTTCTTTTACGCAATTTCCCCGGAGGGGATAAATAGTAAAAATTGTCATTCTGCCATGAACGATCGAAATGCGTGTTCCTGCCTACACAACGTGGGGGCTACTGAAAAAGAATTAAAAATGCTTGCACAGACAGAATGTACCTGGAACTTTGCTGTTGCGGGCAGAAGTCAGTGAATCAATGTATAGATGTTCCTACAGACTAATTCAAAGAGATATCGGGGATTAGATAATTAGATAACATGGTAATTTATTTTTTCATGATCAAATTACGTGAAATTTTTCTTTCTTTTTTTTCTTTCTTGCTATCTATCTATCTTAGTCTATTCGTTATCTATCGATCTATCAATGGTCTTGTGTGTCTATTCACATTTATCTATATGTTTAATTCAGTCTGTTGTTCTCTCTCCTTTTCTGTTCGTGTATCTCTTTACACACACAGAGACACACACAGAGACACACACGGACACAAACATACACACACACACACACACACACACACACACACACACACACACATATATATATATATATATATATAGTTAGGTTTATGAAAAAATAGGTAATCCGTATGGGTAAACCTAAGGAGGATAAAATCCAGAGAGCTCAATGTAAATCCAGAGCAAATAATTTAAATAAAAACAGAACACTTTAAGTTTTTTTTTTTTTTTTTTTTGTTTTTGTTTGGAAGTAAAGTCTGATGTTCCGCAGTCCTTTAAAAGGGCTGTGGTGAAATAATTTATTACATGGAACCTTAAAGTGGTCTGTTTTTATTTATATATATATATATATATATATATATATATATATATATATATATATATATATATATATATATATATATATATATATATATATATATATATATATATGTATATATATATATATGTCTGTATGTATGTATTTATGCATGCAAGTATGTTGTATGTATTAAAAAATAGGGCCGAGTGGTTAGAACGTTTGCTTTCTGACTATGAAACATGGGTTCGAATCTCACTAGGTTCGATGTCGATTTGTTAGAAAGGTAATTTCTTGATGTTATCGGTTTAGAGGAGGCGATCCCAGCGTGCGGCACCTTTGGAGAGAACCTGAAAACCATACGTGGTGAGTGAAATTGGGGAGTCGTCGGTGTTTGCGCTAGCACAAATCAAAAGTCGTCGTGACAGAGGGTTTGAGCGTGCTGGCCTCGTTTAGACTAGATAATGCTCAGCATATTTGCAGCATAAACCAGTGGCTCTGGTGGGTGTTGATCAAACATGTGCCTGAGCAGGCGTCTGCAACGGGGATTATCTAACCACCCCCAGTAGACGGGCATCCTCGAATACGAGTGGCCAGCCACTATTAAGAAATATAGCATTGA